TACTCACACACATAATCCTGCACACCTGTAGACACATGTGTACTCACACACATAATCCTGCACACTGTAGACACATGTGTACTCACACACATGTGCCTGCATACCTGCATACACATGTGTACTCACACACATGTACCTGATGTACCTACACACCTGTATACACATGCGTACTCACACACATGTGCCTGCATACCTGCATACACATGTATACTCACACACATGTACCTGATGTACCTACACACCTGCATACACATGTATACTCACACACATGTACCTGATGTACCTACACACCTGCATACACATGTGTACTCACACACATGTGCCCACATATAGAAAATAATCAGAAGTTACTAATTAATCTGGACAGGAGCTCTGATGCAGGTTGGGTAGCCCTTTTCCAGAACAAAGTCTCCATTTGCCTTAACAGTTCGTCATGTGACACAGCTTCAGTGGTCTTCCCCACACCAAGGCCCCTGGGGGTGTCACAGGGCCTTAACCAAGGGGTTCAGTGATTACCCTTTATGGGGGTCCCAGCTATAGCTGCTGTAGTCCTGTGTGCCCGAGCCTCACTCTCCATTTTGAGCACAGGAATGTTTCAGATGAGGGAATGTGTCCATCCAAGCAGGAACCCAGTGTCTAGCCCAGGCTAATGCTCTGCCCTCCGGGATGTGGGTGGGGGATGAGGTGGGGGAGTGGGAAGGGTTCTGTTCCTGCTCCCAGCCAAAGTCATCTTTCTTTGAACAGGCCGATGGGCTCCACTCTGGGACGCTCTGGGGGGGAGGGGGTGGTGAAGCTCAGGTGCAGGGCAAGGGCCTCCTCCTACCCCCCAGTCCACCATCTGCTCCCCCCTCCCGTTACCCAGCGGCAGTGCAGCCTTGAGATGGCCCCTTACTCTGGAAACGCATGCTGCCAACGCTGGTGGAGAAGGAGGTGGAGAATGTTGCCAACTGCTCGTGTTGTCCTCATGAAATGCCTGAGCTGGGGTTAAAGACCAAGACACTGCGGGGCTGGTGAGACCAGCGTCACTCTGCTTCCAAAATGGCACCTGTCCCTGTGTTCTCCAGAACAGGAGAGGGTGGAAAGAGGCTCAGCTGCTTCCCACCCCTGTACAAGACACCAATGCCTTGACTGATGCACACAGCTGACCTTACCTCAGTCCTAAGGCCGCAGTGAGTTGGGGTCATGCAGACCACAGCAGGGGGTCATTAACACTGGCTGTGGCTTCCACACTTGGCACTTGAGGTTCCTGAAAGGCCAGTGTGGCTAGGGACATGGGATGAAAGCAAACAGGGTCAGTCAGTGCCCAGAGTCAGAGGCAGGGTCCTGTCAGCACCCTGTGAGACCTGGGTAATTCAGTGAGTGACTTTTCCTCGCTCAGTTTCTCCAGCCACGAAATGGAAAATGAGCAGACCTACTATAGGTGAGTAAATTCTAGGTCTCTTAGGGATGAGGCAGGAGCCAAGCCACTGTATCCCTGAAAGAGAGCCCGAGGCCCAGGTAAGGAAGGGACTGCCCTAACTCACCCAGTGACACCACAAGGGTGGCTCCTCTGGAGTCACATAGGCAGCCAGGTCTGTGAGCCTCAGGCTCAGGCCAAGCCATAGGACCATCATGAAGGCTGTTGGCTCTGTTCTACATCCCAGGCTCAGGCCAATGATCCACACAGAGGTTAATAAATGACACAAACAGCCGGTGGTGGCGCATGCCTTTAATACTAGTACTCGGGAGGCAGAGACAGGTGGATCTCTGTGAGTTCGAGGCCAGGCTAGACCAACAGGCTCCAAAACAATACAGAGAAACCCTGTCTCGTAAAACCAAAAAATAAAAATAAAAAATAAATGACACAAACTACAACAGAACTACTTCCCAGCCCAGCTCTATAGACACAGGCCAAGTCCACCATAGCCAGACTCCTTATCATTTATATTGTTCTTTCTATTGTTTGGAAATAACAGGGGAGGAGGAGCTTGACTGTGCATGGCCACCTGGCTGGGCGAATAGGAAACATTGCAGAACAATGCAGAACGGGGCTGAGAACTTGAGTTCAGATCCCCAGCACTCATGGAAATGCCCAGTGAGTGTGACAGCTCATGGATAGAGGTAGGGGGTCCCCAAAGCAAACTGGTTAGCCAGGCAAGCTGTATGGTGAGCTCTGGTTTCAGTTGAAAGATGCTGCCTCAGTGAATAAAATGGAGAGTAAGTAAGGGAGATTCCTGATGTCAACCTTGGGCCTCTGCATATGCACACGTGTGTCTACGCGTGCGCGCACACACACAGAGTCACACACATACACACTCACACATACATTCACACACATACATTCACACACATACACACACACAGAGTCACACACATACACACTCATGCACACTCACACATACATTCACACACATACTCACACACACACTCACAAACACACATACCTCATTTTGGAGTTTGGTAGAACTGAGTTCAAATCTTGGCTTCCTTGCCATTGATACCTCTGGGCCTCTGGCCATTCCACAAGTTGTTTTGAAGTTCACCTAAGCTACTATAAGCAAAAGAAAAAAAATGTGCTCCCAGTACAACCTTCTACCCTACACGCCAAGCCATGGCATGGGGTAGGTACCTATCCTGTGGGAGATCTATGGCCAGGAATGGCCACATGATTTGGGGGACCCCTTGTTCAACAGATACTAAAGCTTCCAAAGTTTCTGTGGCAGAGCATGTGTTCAACATGGTCCCTGCCCTTCTAAGAGCAGGGCCCTGTGACACCACATGGGTCACACCCTAGGGAGCTGGCACCACCTCAGAGACAGCCAGGGAGCTTAGACCCAGCCCAGGTGGAGGAGCTGAAGCCCTTCCCTAGCAGCTAAAGGCCTCACGCTGGGGCCAGCCCTGTTCCCTATGCCGCCTGCGGCTGAGAGGGTGACCGCTGGGCCTGCCACTGTCGGTGGTCACGGAGGAGGCATAAAAGCCTGACTGTTCTCCACCTCGGAACGCCTGTTTTTATCTCACGCCATGCATACAGTACATAGCTGCTTTCTTTCCGCAGAGGGTTGCATTTTTTCTTCTTTTCCAAGGGCGACGCTGGAAAGCCATGTGGCTTTTATTGCTGGCAGGAATGTCTGCAGCGTCCCTCCCCACCACATAAATGGAGCCGTCATCTTCAGCCTTGTAAGGCCAAGGCTGCTCCCCTTCAAGCCATCAACCTCTGAGATTAATTAAAGTTTCACAAGGACTGACAGGCATTACGACCTTTTTAGGGAGGTGGAAAATCCCTAATAGGACCCTGTGGCCCAGGCACTGCTGGGTGGGCTTCAGGGACAAGGAGGCCTACGACAGATGATCAGGGACCGGGCCAGCAGGAAGGTGGCAGCAGGGGGTGCCCAGGCTCTACCCTGGTCTAAGCTGTGATCTTAACAGAGCCCCTTCCCTTCCTGGGTCTTGGTTCTGCCATTTGACAAAGTTGGGGTCTTGAACTTGACGTCTTAGGGGTTTCGTTTGTGGCAGAAGAATTCTAAAGCCAACCCGGGACCCCTCTGCCAGGATTCTAATTCCATCCCACCGCTGTCACTTCTCCAATCTGATTCTGCCCCGTGAGACCAGCAGAGCGGTCAGGAACATGGGCTCTGGGGTCATGCTGCCTGGATGCAATCCCAGCTCTGCGGTTTCCCAGCTGTGTGACCTTGTGTGAGTTTCTTAACCTCTCTGTGCTTCTGTTTTTCTCACTTGTCAAATGGACATGATGACAGCAACCCCCAAAGTGCTTAAAGGCGGCATAAGTGAGCATGAGTGCAGAATGTGACAGAGGTGACTGCCGCTTACAGGAGCTCTTCCTGTCCCTGCCCACTGCAGCTGCTGCCCCGTGCTATGTGGGGATGGTAGGCATGAGCTGGAGGTGAAAGGAAGGATTTTTTGTCAGCGCCCCCTAGGGCTCCAGGTGCAAACTGGGGGGTCCATGCTGTGGTGCAGCTATCAAAGAGGGCGCTGGTGAGGAGCCATGGAGACTGTTGGTCTGGTGCTGGGGAGCACATTCTTCCGGGAGCCCAAGCCACCATGAGAACCCAGAGAATGAAATCTCTGCCCTGCAGAGGCACGGGGAGGCTGAGTGGGCACAGCAGGGCCCTCAGTGTCTACTTATACAGCCGCCATGAGGGTCAGAGACTGAGCCAACTCCCTCCAGATACAGAGGCTACAGTGGGCTTCCTCCCCACCCCCAAACCCAATGAGCCCCCTCAGGGTTAATCTGCATCCAGATAGGACCAATAGGAGGGAGTGAGTCCCCACACCCTAAAAGGTAATCAGGCTGTGGGGATCCAGGGGTGGCTTACAGGTTCTGATCACAGACAAAACCTGCCCGGTGTCTGGGTTGAGGGTTAGCTGGAACCCAGACTGCTTAGGAAGCACACTCTCCTTGTTCAGATGGGAACCTGAGGCCACAGGGAAACGGAGCAACTCTGGCTTCTCTGCTGGCTGCTGGCTGGGTGCTGGGGTCGCATCCTCCCTCCCTCAGCCCCACAAGGCAGCTGAAGGCAGCCTGGCCCCTGCTTTGGAAGCACAGCGCTCACCTGCTCACCTGGGATCTGCTCAGCCTTGGCTGTACCTCCCACTTCCACAGCCTTTTGGGGATATTTTTTATGTCCTCTGGGCTTGAAAGGTCTACTGAAGCCTCATTCCTGTTACAACGAAGGGGACCAGAGCTGCTGTAGGGGTCTGCACCCTGTCTGGGCCTCAGTCAAGGCTGGGAATGGTTTTCCAGCCATTCTCATTTCAGGGCCAGATTCCCATAGAGCCAGGAAAGGTGTCCCAGCACCCAGCTCTCCCTCACTCCCCTGCCTCCCTCTAAGTCTGGCTATCCCTTCTGCAAATGGAAAACACACCTGTCTGCACATCCGTTGCGCATCCGTTCTAGATCCTGTGACTCCAGAGTTGGAAGCTCTGAGATAGGGGTCCCTATCTCTCAGGAATTTAGCTATATCACCATGTTCCGATCGGTTCAGTATGTGCGCACAGCCAGGTTACACGACATCTTTGTATTTCGATATTTTATATCGCGCATCTGAAAACGGGATGCAGAGATCCGTTTACTAACAGCTCTTTCCGGCTCTCTCTTTCTCAGCCTTCAGAGGCTCCTCCCCTCCCAGCAGGAACCGCTTATCCTCTTCTCAATGAAAGGGTGTTAGTTAGTCGAAGTGAAGTTCTCCCCTGAGAATTCCGGGAACTAAGCTAGAGGCAGGCTCCACATTGGGTCCCTCATACGTGAGTGCCAGGACCAGAATGGAGAAATTCAGTTCCTAAAAGGAACAGACACCTGCGGGTGGGAGGAACGGTGATGTTGATGATGGTGTTTACTCGCTGCTTATGTCCGTGCTGCTACGGGAAGGGTGGTGGTGAGAGACTGGGAGCCTGGAGGGCAGGTTGGTTGCTTTCAGTACTGGCTCTGTCTAAAGGCAGGCACCAGACAGTCTTTAGTTCCCAGGTAGCCCTCAGGCTAGCCTAGGGGGAAGGAGGGCAAGATGGCTATGGTCATAGCCTGGTCTCTGAGTCCTGGCAAGCTGTGTGGAAACTACAACCTGATGGATGTTTCACAGTTGAGGGTGTGGCACTTGCCAAAGACAATTTGGCATGATAGAGCATCCCTCTGCGCCAGGCCTGTGCCAAGCACTTTACACATTATCCCCAATGCAGCTGCTATCCCCTGTACAGATGAAAGGAAGGCTCAGGGATATTCGGTGCAGGGTCCCTGGACCAGAGTGATAAAGGAAGACAGACCTACTAATAATAAGTCAGGCTCCAGACTCCCAAGGAATCGGACCCACTCAGCCCCTCCTGGAAACAGGGCGGCATTGCACTGCCACGACACCATTAGAACCCTCTCTTAGGTGGGGTCACTCCCAGTAGACGACCCAGGCTAGTCCAATTTACCCAGCAATGCACAGACAGGTGAGAGAGGAGCTCCGATCTCTGCCTCCTGGCCTTGCAGGGGACACAGCCAGGTGCTCTTAGATAGGGGCATTTGAGAGAAAGCCGACTCTCCATCGGCAGGACAGAAAGGGAGACAGATCATGTGCGTGCACAGTGGGAAGGGAGAGGATATGATGGGTCCTGGTTGGCGGCAGGAGCTCTCCAGGTCTGAAAATTGACACTGCTGAGATAGTTCTAGATGTGTCAGTCCAGAGCAGCAGAAGGAAGCTGGGTGGGTACCAGACGGATCTAAAGAGGAAAGTCTGAACCTTCTGTCCTAGGCTCAGGAAACGGTGCGTTTTTGTAGGAGAGAGTTCTTAGTCACAGACCCTTTGGTGTCTGAGACTCCAGAGGAGTGCACCTATCCCTTGAGAGCCGGAGCAAGCAGCCCTTGGCCGCGGTCGTCCGTTTGTCCGATACAGTGGAGTCAGGCGAATGAACACTCTGTCCAAAAAGCAGCTCTTTCCAGGCGCCCGGCGCCCGGCTGCTTGGAAAACCAAGGCACTGCAGCTGGCGCACATCTGTGCCCTGAGCCTGGCGGGGCAACTGAGCAGCCAGCAAGGCGCCAGCGCCAACTAGTGGGCGTTTCCCGTCACTGCTTCAGCCCGGGAGACCCATCGCCCGCGACCTCGGGCTGCACACTCGGAGTCAACACTTCCCCAACTCTTGGTTCTGGTGATCACAGGGGGCGAGCGCCATCCTAGGATTGTAGCTGACTCCAGATCCCGGGTCAGACGACGGGCACCCCAGAGCCTCACTCTCACCCGTTTGTTAACTCTGTGCAGGGACAGAACGAAATCAGGCGGAGGGGATAGTAAATGAGGCAGATGCAAACTGGAAATCGAATTTACACACCAATGAGGCAGCAGGTCACGGCCCACAGTCGTTCGAGGGTAGAGTAGGTGGCTCGTCGAGGGTCTGGGCCCTACCTGGTGGGCAAGCAGTTGTCCTTTTCCGGGGAGCCCCTGGGCCTAGTGATGGGCAACTCCGAGTCACCGGTCCTCTAAAATGTCCAGTAAAGGACCTCCACAGTCCCTTGCTTCCTTGAAAATCTGAGACGCTGACTAAAGGTCCAGAGAGGAGCGCGAGACAATTCTCCCGGTGTTCCTCGGATTCGGGACAGAGCTCATGCACACTGTCTGTGCCTACGGCCTGATTTCGTTTTTTGACAAAATGGAGTGTGCTAGGCTGAGGTCAGATACAGGATGAAGTCTTGATGCCACCGTCGGATCCTAGATAGTGTTGCTCTTGGGGCTTGTAATTGGTCGTTGTAGACACGTCCACTGCCACTGGCAACGAAAATGCAGTCGAATTTCCAAAGCACTGAGAGAAATGCAGGCGTTCGTTCCCGCAGTCCAGGGAGTGCATCTGGGGGGCGACCCCCAGTGGCTATGGGCTCTCCTCCCCTCTGTAACCCTTTAGTCGTGTGCCTGTGCGCTCATGAGGGGCCTAGGAGACAGGAGAGGAAAAAGTCAGGGGCAGTGAAGCCCAGGAGTGGCTGGGCCACTGTCATGAGTAACCGTGGAGACCCCAGGATCGATTTCCCACAGCGCCCCTGACAGCGCTGTGGATCACAGCGCACTAGGGCCAAGAAGACATTGACTCTGCCCTAGGAGGACCCCTTTCCATCCACAGGGAGAAAGCAGTCCGGCTTCTCTCCAAGCCACCGACAGCTTTCTTCCTGCCACAGATCCGCGTCCCTTTCCACGACACGGGAAGGAGGCTGCATGCGTGGGGGGTTGACACCAGAAAGCACACGTGTCGCAAGGCTCTACTGTATTTTTCAAAGAGCCGCTGGCCACCACGACAGAGAACGACACCACGAGGCCTATACGGTCCTGAAACTAGTTTTGATGGAACAGGGTGGTTGGCCCCCAACCCACTGCTGATCCATGTGGAAACCCCCATTCTGTCTGCTTGGAAGACTGGCACAGAGGCCACAGAGGGCCAAGGCCGCGCGGAGTTGGGGATCGTGGAATTCCGCGTGGGAAGGAAGCTCTAGGGTCAAAATCGTTTGTCGGATAGAGGGAGTGAGGAGGCATCAGCCTTGGGTGTCACCGCAGCGACCAGCTGAGGGTGCAGGTTCCGGACTGCGGTGGCCAGAGCTGGAGAGGGCAGGCTACAACCCGAGGGAGGGGACCCAAGCTCAGCCAGGACGCTGGAAACCGATCTCTGCCCCAATTGCAGCGGTTGCTCCCGACTCCAGGGGACCGCGGCTCCCGCGCAGCTCCTGGGGCGCGGGTGTCTACATCTTTCGGGGCGGGGCCTGGTCCCTTCTAGGCCCGCTCGGGCCCGAGCCTCCCGGTCCTCCCCGGCGAGCCCCGAGCCTGGGGGCTGCGATTGGCTGTGCCCCGCGTCGCTCGCGCGGCCCCGCCCCGCGGCCCCGGGTACTAACCTCGCGCGGGCGGCTGCGGCGCAGCCACTTGATTCTCTAGGATCCGGGCTGGGGCCGCAGCCGCCGAGTCCGTGGGGCGGCCGCGCGCGCGGGATGCGGGACTAGCGGGCGCGCGGCCGACCGTCGGGGCGTCCCCCCCGGCACCGCCCCCCGCGCTGGCTGGGCCCCGCGCCGCCGCCTTCCCGCCTCCTGCTTCCCGCGGCTGCGGCCGCCCGCGCCCTGACGGCTGCGGTATGCGTATTCCCGTAGACCCGAGCACCAGCCGCCGCTTCACTCCCCCCTCCACGGCCTTCCCCTGCGGCGGCGGCAAGATGGGCGAGAACAGCGGCGCGCTGAGCGCGCAGGCTGCCGCGGGCCCCGGCGGCCGCACCCGGCCCGAGGTGCGCTCGATGGTGGACGTGCTGGCCGACCACGCGGGAGAGCTCGTGCGCACCGACAGCCCCAACTTCCTCTGCTCCGTGCTGCCTTCGCACTGGCGCTGCAATAAGACCCTGCCGGTCGCCTTCAAGGTGAGTGTAGGGGGCCGGGCCGGGAGGACGTGGAAGAACCTGGGCGTCCTCATTCCGGGAGCCCAGGCCGGGGAGGACGTGGGGAGCATCAGGCTGGGAGGACACGGAGAGAGATGACACCCAGCTGACAGGACACGAGGATGCCCGGGCGCATCTGCTGCAGGACCCCAGGCCGGGAAAGACCCCATTGGACCTCGCTATAAGAACCCAGACTCCAGAGGACATGGGGGACACCAGATTGGGAGGAAAGAGGGGCACCCAATCAGTAGGACACAGGGGTGCCCGGTCACCCGCGCTGCAGGAGCCCAGGCCAAGAATGACATGGAGGGAACCTGGGTGTCCCCTCTGCAAGAGTCCGGGTCCAGAAAAAATATGGTGTGCTCAGTCAGGGAAGATACGGGAGGGCGGCCAGGAAAACTGGGCGGGGGAGTCCTCCCGCCGCTCCCACTGCGGGAGCCAGTACCGGGGACCCCGAATTGAGATCGGTGCACCACGGCCTCTCGGCCTCGCTGCCCACAGGACTTGGGACACTCCCTCTCGGATACACCGACAGCTTGGGGGGGGCCATACCTCTCCACCTGGCCTTGACAGGGCCCTGGAAACGGGAGGATTGGGGCTTCCAGATTCCTCCAGCACAGCCTAACCCGTAACCGGGAAGAGGATCGCCGGACTGGGAGAGGAACCGGGAGGTTTGGGGTGCAGAGGGCGAGGAGGGCCTGGCCTACCCCGCTGCGCCGCGCCTCCTGCGCTGCTGTAGAAACACTTCCTTCCCACACTCTCCACCTCGGGCGGCTGAAATTTTGCACTGGGCCACCACAGGCCAATTCTGGAGCGCGGTTCCCCAAAGGGCTGCGTCCAGCAAAAGTCTGCATACCGAATAACAGGCTGACACTTGGGCGATGCCTCCATCCTGGTAGCCCCGAGTCGTTCAGATATTTTTTTCAACTATGCTAGGGATAGACAAGTGTTTCGTTTTCTTCTCTTTCTTTCTTTTTTTTTTTAAGGGGGCAGCCAGATGAAACGAAAACGCCTTGGTTTTCCCCTAAACCACTCGCAGCTGCCGCGAGAAAGGGCAGGGCAGGAAGGGCCAGCGGCTGGGGAGGTGGTGGTGCCCGAGGTGGCTGAAAACGCCGGCTGCTGGCAGCTGAGGCCCTCCTTGCTCCCATTAAGACTTCAAATTGGAAGGAAGGAGGAGAAAAAAAAAAAAGACTAGTGACTCTTTGAGGTCTCCCGGGTGACATCTTAAAATACCAGCGGGGGAAATCTCCAGGGGAGGAGGGGGGAGGAAGCCCGTGTGACTGTAATCGTCAGATCGGAGGTTTTACTGTCACTTGGAGCTTAAAAGGAATCTTTGAAATTAAAAGAAGACAGGATGTTGACAGGAAATCTGGCCTTTTTAATCAGACCCCAAACATTTTCTCCTTGAAATCCTTACCATCTGGACCCCCAGTCCCTGCACACGGCAGCCACGTTTAAATGGCTGTGACTCTGTTTAAAGTCTGGTTCAAAAGGCATCGGCCTCTTGGTGTGCCTTGGGTGGGGAGGAGGGGGGAAGAGATGACATTTAAGTGGGCAACACCACCCACCCATCCAGCAGTTCCCAGCAGGTACAGGCTTAGTTATCAAAACGGGGTTTTCTGGATCAGCTTGCAAAACATCAGTTTTGTTTTGCGTTTTGCATTTTCTCTGCATAACGAATCCAGACTCCGATGAGGCTATTTAACTGGGCCTTAGCCGCACGGCTGGGCCAAATTTCATGCCCCAAAGGGCGATATGTTAACTGCAAACAAGGAGTACCCGTTATTATCATTGCTGGTTCTTTTGCTAGGAGTGTGTAGTCTTATTTTGTGCCCCACCCTTAGCAGTGACCTTACTGATTGACAACTCTGGCTTAGACTTAATTTATTTTAAAAATGATGGTTTCTTGGGGCTCACGTTAACTCTTGGACCCAGGATTTGGGCATGGAGGGTAGAGAGTCCATCATTTGGGTCTCGTGTTGGAGAAGGACCTACATCATTAATGCCTCTTCCACCCCAGCCTCAGAGAAATCGTCAGTGAACCTGGAACCTAGGGGAGCAGCTGGGTGCACCCCTCCTTTTGACCTTTCTAACCCGCCCCCTTTCCTCAGGTGGTGGCACTGGGGGATGTGCCTGATGGAACGGTGGTGACGGTGATGGCGGGCAATGATGAGAATTACTCCGCTGAGCTGCGCAATGCTTCCGCTGTCATGAAGAACCAAGTGGCCAGGTTCAACGACCTTCGCTTCGTTGGCCGAAGCGGGCGAGGTGAGCAGGAGGTACCCTGGGATGGCAAAGGTTGGGACAAGGGTTGAGGGAAGCCTCTGGGTCTCAGCCAGAGCCCTGGAAACAGGTCTGCAGGCTCAGCGCTGTCTGAGTAGCAACTCTCCAATCCTGTAGAGATTGCACCGCCCTTTTATGTGGATATATTTATGGTCTCCTGCTAGTAGAGTTTTCTCCCAGGTTCCAGGGCTTAGCAACTCCTAAAAGCCTCTAGTGCGGCCGATTTTCCCACTAGCATCCCTGATCTCACAAAAGATGTGGGGAGAAGGTCCTGCTCAAGCAGGGTGTGGATGTCTTTTGGTTGGGACGCCCCAGCCACTCGCCCTAGGTGCAGGAGGCCCCCTGTGGTCTCCCGAAGGCTCTGGGCTTCTTCAGGTACTTTGAAAGCGAGGAGAATTCAGGGTGGTATGATAAATGTTGGAAAGAGAAGTTTGAAAGCTACCATCTCAGCCTCAGGCTCAAGCTGGTGGCTGCCCTGTCAGTGTGATCCACCCCGGTAGTGGCAAGAAGGCAGGACCAGACGCCACAGCGGCTGCCGCCAGAGGCTGTTGAGTGGGAGGCACTGGGGCCCGAAACCCGTCATCATGTAACTCTGGGGTGGAGGAGCCCTCCTCGTTCCCATGCCCTGAGGATAGGAGGATCTGCGGCTTTAAGACTAGCCTGCTGAGAAGCGGCTGTAGTCACCTTCTGAAGCTCTGGGAGCCTCCAGGGCTAGGAAGTGAGCCGGCTCCCGTTGGCGGCTGCCATGGCTGGGGCAAAACGGTACTTTTCAACACCAATAAACAAGACCTTCTCAAGGTTGGAGCTCCCTGGAAGCCGCCAGCCTGCTCCACTGGGCACCATTTTGCCCTCTGCAGCCGTACAGTGTATACATACAAATGTCAAACATATTTTTTGACTTTTCAGCATTAATTAAAACCAGAGCGTTATTTGCATGTAATAACTGTTTACTTGTTACTTTTTATGAAACTGAAATAGTTTACATTCTTTCGAACATTTCCTGTTCCTGTTGGCTCCCTTCCCTACGCACAGATTTCTTTCAAACGTAGCCCTTAACTGGCTGCAGGTTGATGGATGGAAAATGTTTGCTTTTATGAATTAAGCTTTCATTGCTGCTCCTAATTAGTCTCCAAGTCCCTTTTGTCATCCCCAGTCCCTGAACCCTTTGCAACTTAATTGAAGTTCTGTCCCTGAGTGGAATGTCAGTGCTACAGGGTCCAGGTGATGGGGGCATTTTATAGCATCTGTCCCTAGAGAATGGATAGAGAGTGAAGTAGGTTTGGGAGCCCCACAAGCCACTAAGCCCTCGGGGCTCCCTTCTCCCTCCACGCTGCTCCCTCTCCTGGGAGGTGACAGGAAGATTAAAGGGTGATGATTCTCTGATGCACTGTGACCTCTCTACATGCTAAGGAGTCTTTTGATTTGTTTTGAGACGGTCTTACAGCGGTCTTACAGCTTAGTGACACTAGCCTGGAACTTGTTAGGTAGCCGAGAGGAACCCTGGGTTTTCAGCACTGCCCCAGCCTCCCGGGTGCTGAGGATTGCAGGCGTGTGCTGCCACACCTAACCCGCAGTGAGACAGGGGCCCGGGCCCTCAAGGTCCCTGGGGAGAGATATGTTTTCAAGGTGTCACTGAACTGCATACTCGTGGATCTTTTGAGCCTGGGTCTGGGGTGGTGGCTCCAGTTAAAACGCTCTGTGTTCAACCTCTCTCCAGCCTCAGTGGTTCCGGTAGGGAGGAGGTATCCCATAGACACCTGCTCGCCTGGGGAACTCTGGACCGAGTGCTCTTGGCTCCTGCTCTTCCAGTCTGAGTTCTAGGGCAGCTGACCTGGGCCTGAATTCCAAACCAGCTAGGGACTTGCTGGATAGCATTAGGGAACTGACTTAACCTCTCTGTGCCTCTGTTTCCTTATCTGTGAGATGTGGGGGCTGACAATGGCACATTTTAATGCGATGTGGGGTCCATTAAGAACACTGATACAAGTGTGTGAGTTCTCAGGTACTGAAAGTCGGCTACATGGTAGAGATTTGGTTCTTTAAATGGTTGGCACTGAAAAAGCCTTTGAGGTCCCTTTGAGCACTGCCACACTCACTGATCCTCTGATTGCAGTGTGGTTTGGCCGGGGGTGGGGGAAACCCAGAAGGTGTGCACTGTTGAGTGGGAGAGGAGGAGGTGCCGAGGTCCAGACTGCATGGTGGCTACACCTCTGCCATGCCTGTCCCAACAGTTGGGAAATTCCTCTGATTGACAGGGAGAACCTGGGCTGCTTCAGGTCAAGATAGAGAACCCAAGAGTCTTCCCTGGTTCTCTGATGTCTTCCATCCTAGATGATTTCTATGTATTTTGGCTTTTTTTTAAATATAAAATTCCTGGTTTCTGTCTGAATCCCAGAAAGACCACTTTCCATAAAGGGCAGGCATGCACCAGCACCCTGGTACTCCCAGGACACTGCAGGAGAGCAAGCCAGACAGGCTCCTCCAACCACTGCAGCGCCCCTCCCCCCTAAATGTCTTGTAATCTGCACTTTTAGCTTCCATTCAGTCCCTTCAGGAGGCGATTCAGTCCCTGAATCTCTGCCATTCCATAGCTTCGAGGAAAAGAAAAAACTCATTCATGGCAGATACAGATTTGAATATGTAAATGCCTGGTGAAACCACGCCTCTTCAACTTGGGCCCGTGCATCCTTCATAGAAGCCCCTTGACATCAGGGTGACAGGATTCAAAGTGTGACTGTGGCCTCGATGTCAGTCTATGCCGGGACTTGCTGAAGATGGAAAAAGTCTCTGCAGAGCAGTGAACAATGTTTTTGGGGGGGGGGGCGGGAAGGGGGATTGTTTTGTTTTGGCTTTTTTTTTTAAACAGTGCTAGGTATCAAAACCTGGCCCTAACTCATGCTAGCCAAATGATCTTACACTGAACCACATCCACAATACCTCCCCCAGATAAAAACAAAATGAGACCCCATCCTCTGAAAAGTTCACTAGTTATTAAAAGAACCCCAAATTTGCTTTAGTTTAGGTAAAACTAAGTTAGGTTCATGGCTCAGGAAGTTGTTTTTTGTTTGTTTTTTTAGCACAATTTTTCCTTCCTAGGGGAATTAATTCTTTGTGGCCCTATGCAGTACTGGGATCCTACATGCTTACACACACACACTCCCCTATCACATGTGCAGGAACTCAGCGTGCACACATCCACCTCTAGGGTTGATGCTCTCTTTGGCCCATCACCATGGCCAATCCCCAGCTTGGCTTCTAGAAGTAACTGCTGGCCTAGGCCATGATGAGTCCCTCAGCACCTGTCATTAACCACGAGACAGCAGGGACATGTTCAGAGAGACTCAGGGAGAGAGCTGCAGGTGCAGGCTATGGGACCACTAGACAAGGGAGCGATGGTGTCTTGCTGAAGCTGAGAGGCTGTGGAGCTGAGAAGGAGGGGGGGTGTTCAGGCATCTTCCGTGGGCAGGACTCGTCCCAGCCATGCTTCCTGGCCCACTTCAGATTGCCGACGGGTGAAGGCTATACTTGCTTCATGCAACCGAACAGTAAGGCCTTCACTAAGCCAGAGCCAACCCTCAAAGTCCCTCGATTGCAATTCCTGGCCTTGTGGCCTGGCCCCATTACATGGCTGCTGGGCTCCTGCACAGCCACCCACCTCCTCCATCTTCCTCTCAGCTTCCTGCTCCAAAAGAAAGAGAGATGTTCACATTGGGTACCACCAGGGGGAAAATTAAGTGCTGGGGGTAGCTTGCCCCACCCATATTTCTTAAAGTTTCTCATGCTCCTAGGCCCAACCCTGATGTCCTGATTCCCTTTCCTCTCTGTGGGTGGCTGAGAAGGCAAGGAACTGTTGAGGTGTACTGGTGACCTCAGGGGTGGCATGTGGTTTGCTCCCTGGGGCAGTTGTGTGGGGTTAGTGAGGGTGGGTGGGCAGCTGCAGCAGATTCTGGGTCCTACCTGGATAATGTGTGAGCTGACCAACCACGGCCCCTCTGCAAGCTGAGCATTTAAAATAGTTAACTCAGTCTCTGCCACATACCCGGTGGTATCCTGGGGACTGGGACATTGGGGTGTCATTTCTGGCTCCGGTGAGCTTAGCATCTAGGAGAGGGAGAGAAAATCAACTCAAAGATGGATTCTGAAGGGAACTTTGCAAGGAAACTTCACGAAGGTTCCGGGGCAGGAGGTACATGGGACTATGGAGAGTAACAACTACATTTGGGCCGTGTTGGGGGGGGGGCGGGGTAGTAGTGGTGTGTTGCTTCCATAGTAAGCTCTAGCCAGGGGTCTGATGATATTGACTTTGTGATGAGCATTGAGAGTATTTGGAAAAATCTGTAAGGACTGTCACATGATATCTGAATGTCTGTGTAGCTTGTTGGTGACAAGGTCATAGGTACTGCTCATTTAAACTTTTGTGGCTTGTGGCTTGCATTCTAGCTTGAGAGAGGCTCTTCCAGTTAGGGGTTGGGGACAATGCTATTGCAAATTTTCCTATCCCAGGTCCCTGGCCTGCTCTACGCTAAGAAGGGTCAACCGCAGAGGCCAAATTGAAAATGTCCACTTTGTGTGCTTGGTGTTTGGGGCCATGGAGATGGAACTCAGGACCTGAAGCATTCTAGGCAAACCTCCTACCACTGAGTCACACTCCCCTGGCCCCTGAAATGTCACCTTTAAATAAAGTGGCCAGGGAAAGCCCTCACTGAGAAGATGACTCTACAGTACAGACTTACTCCTCAGAGTCAGGGTTCCTGGAAGGTGGGGCTCCAGGTATCAACCCACCCCCACCTTCGCTGAGGCCCCAGAAGCAATGAGGTCAGAGGGCCAGTCCTGCTTCCCCCTAGCACCCCATTGGCTGGGAGGAGGTGTCTAGGGGAGAAATGATACCAAAATGAGAAGGCAGAGAGAGTGTCCCCAAGGGGAGTGGAAAGGAGTCTGAGGCCACCTGCCCTGTATTGGCCTAGACTGTCTGCAGTTCTCTTTCCAGAAATGAAACAAATGGCCTCTGGCCTGAGGGTGAGGGCCAAGCTGACTTTCCTAACTAAACCTTCAAGGATGGATGCCTTAGCGTTTGCATCCTGACCTCTGCTGCCTGCCTCGGGGACCTTTTTCCACTGAGGGATCTATTTCTCAGGGTGCTCTGACTATACTCTCCTGAATCCCAGAAGCCCTTGGGTTCGGGGGCTCAGCTGGCTAGCCATGCTCAGTTGTCTCTTGTTTCCGGGGCTAGGGGCTAGAATTTTCCCTTGAGCAAAGAGAACATTAAGATGGCTCTGCTCTCGTGTACAGCAGGGCTGTGGAAACTGGCCTACTCCTTAGGGCACCAATAATGAGATCTGTCTCCAGCAGCCTCCTGGGGGCCACCAGGACCCCTCCGACGAGGCACAAATGCCTAGACTTGGACTGCCCATGGGGAGTTCCCAGGCTTCTATCTCGGGTTCACAGTTAGATCCACAGAAGCAAAGCAGGTTGAGGGGAAGTCAGGCCTAGGTATCTGTGGAGTCCCACCCCTCACCCCAGCCTCATCTCAGGGTCTAGGCTGAGACACAGAACTCTGGACACAGCCCCGTGTGCAAAGCGACAGTCGCTGAGGTGCAAAGCAAACCAGAACAAAAAGCAGGCTTGCCCTTTGACACGGCTCACCTTAGACCTTTCCCACCAGACAGAACTTTCGCAGCAGAGTACCTTGCAAACACACCTTCATCATCTATTTCCTGCCTGGGGAGATCTCTCTAACACTGAGGAAGAGAGCAAAGCGTGAGAAAGGGCTGTAGTTAGAAATCCGAGTGTGGCGGCCATCACCCAGACAGACAGCCCATGGCTGTGGACAGGCTTCAGATGGAGCAGTTGTCGAAGGTCCCCAAGCCCCCATGGGAAAGTCTCAAGCACAGGAGGTGATGATGTGCACCAGATTCTGGTGACGGGTAGTGACCAGAGACAAAGTTTCAGTCTCAGTAATAAAAGAAAAGCAAACAAAATCAAGAGAAATTCGAGATCTTCCATCGTGATAGACATGAGCCAGCGGCACTTGGGTGACGTATGGTCGACCTCACATCACTCATGATGAGGTATGTGTCCCCAGAGAGTCAAGATCAGCCCCCACAAACTCATCCCGGGCCCCTGAAGTGACGCACTCACTCAACACTTCTTGCAGCTCCCTGGGAGGAAGTCAGCCATGTCTGCCGACAGAGATTTTGACACACGGAAGGTCATTCCCATTTTAAATGGTAAAGAGGAAAAAAAAAACAGAAAAAGTACTATTTTAAAAGATTTTCCTCTTGAAGGAATTTTGAATGGAGACGTTGGAGCCAAAGGTCTATCTAAAAATAGAGCTGGGTTCTGGAAATAACAGTACCTACAGCTCTCGGGTCGGTCCTCCTGCAGCTCTGGCTGCACACAGCGGCAAGAAATTAACAATGACATCAGGGGGTGGACCAGTCAGAGCACAGACTTCCACCAGGGGAATATTTAGCAGCCATTAAAAACTGAAGTTTATGGAGAATTTGTAATGCTGTCACAGGGAAAGAAAACAAGACAGGGGGTTGGAGAGATTTCTCAATGGCTAGAGCACTGACTAGTCTTGCAGCAGACCTGGGTTCAATTCCCAGCACCCACATGGTGGTTCACAACAATCTGTAACTACAGTTCCCAGAGATCTGATCCTCTATTCTGGCCTACTTGGGTGCCAGGTAATACACATGGTGCACATACATACATACATACATACATACATACATACATACATGCATGCATGCAGGCAAAACACTCAGACAAATGAAATAAATATTTTTTAATTAAAAAACAAAACAAGACAGGTCCCAGCACTTGGGAGGCAAAGTCAGGAGGCTGTCTGTGAGTTTGAGGCCAGTCTGCTCTACACAGCAAGTTCCAAGACAGCCAGAGTTACATAGAGAAACCCTGTCTCAAAAACAAACAAAAAAGAAAAAGAAGAAAAAAAAGCTATAGATTTTAGTACCACAGCAACTCTGTAACTATGCTTGCCCATACCCAGAGAGATGGAAGAGAAAACCCCAAATGATGATGGTGTTATCTCAACTAGTGGAAATGGGGGTGGGGTTTCTTCTTTTCTTTAAATATGTTTTGTGTTCTTATTTTTTTTCTGTGAAGATCACTAATTACTTTCAGGAAAAGAACATACCACCTATCCACGATCTTTACCTCTTAACTGTATGGATCCCTAAAAAGAAAGAATATCACAAAAACAAGTTACTTAGAAGAGAGAGGAGAAGCCAAGAGGGCCGTATGGTAGAAGGGCAGCTGGGACCTCACCTCCTGAGGTCTTGAATGCCAAGCCCAGCAGCCTGCACTATACTCTCCCTGCCTTCTCCTTGTGTTTAAAGTCGGGGGCTTTGACAGCAGAGTGCAGGTGGGAGACTGGGAGGCTGAGCGTGTCTTTCATCAAACTCCTGCCTTGATTTCCCCAGGGAAGAGTTTCACGCTCACAATCACCGTGTTCACCAACCCTACCCAAGTGGCCACCTACCACCGAGCCATCAAGGTCACTGTGGATGGACCCCGGGAACCTCGACGTAAGTGCTACTAAGCCCTGGCCATGCCAAAGGGTTCAGGGAATGGGGGGGAGCAGGGAGCTTTGTGTTGCCCTCCCAGCATTCATAGGGTTTCAACTAAACGGGCTCAGCCCCAGGCTCTGAAGGGTCAGCAAGGCGGCCACGATAATTGAGCCTCTCTGGGGACAGCCTGGAAGAGAGATGGAACCATGGGGGTTGGCATTTGGGATGGGGATTAGTTCATTTTTCTCTGCACCCCAGTTGCCTCCACAGTAATGAGGGATGTAGGGGAACGGCCGCCCAGATTGGAGCTGGTCCCATGTGCCATGAAGCCACACCTCTTTCTGAAAACCCTAGATCTTTGGAGCTCAGGCAGGCTGGCTACAGGACCCATACAGACAAGAACAGGAATGCAGTTGGAGTTTTCAGTGTGCACTGAGTGCGCAGTGTGTACTCAGTGTGCATGCAGTGTGTACTGAGTGTGCATGCAGTATGTACTGAGTGTGCAAGCAGTATGTACTCAGTGTGCATGCAGTGTGTACTGAGTGCGCAGTGTGTACTGAGTGTGCAAGCAGTATGTACTGAGTGTGCATGCAGTGTGTACTGAGTGTGCATGCAGTGTGTACTGAGTGTGCAAGCAGTATGTACTCAGTGTGCATGCAGTGTGTACTGAGTGTGCAGTGTGTACTGAGTGTGCAATCAGTGTGTACTGAGTGTGCATGCAGTGTGTACTCAGTGTGCATGCAGTGTGTACTGAGTGTGCATGCAGTGTGTACTGAGTGTGCGTGCAGTGTTACTGAGTGTGCAATCAGTGTGTACTGAGTGTGCATGCAGTGTGTACTGAGTGTGTATGCAGTGTGTACTGAGTGTGTATGCAGTATGTACTGAGTGTGCAAGCAGTGTGTACTGAGTGTGCATGCAGTGTGTACTGAGTGTGTATGCGGTGTGTACTGAGTGTGCACTGAGCACCGGCTGCATTCAGGGAGTCTCAGTCCATCAGAGTCCAGGTCTGCATCAGGGGATGGGATTTGCACACTTACCGCAGGGGCTGCTCGTGACATTTGAGCCCAAGGGTTTCCCTGTTCCAGGGAGGTAATGGCCCAGGCCTGATGGCTGGGTGCATGTGGGGACCTTGACTTATGCCAGTGGGGATATGCTCCTGACTCAGGCTTCCACTCAGGCTAATAGGGCTTGTGACAGGAGAGCAGGTCCTGGGACCTCTGCTTAATGCCAAGAGACTCAAAAGAGTGTGGCCTGCACTCACATTGGTGAGTCCATTCAAACCTTGGCATCAACTTGACTTCCCATCTAGTGCTCCAACAGGTAGATCTTGGGAGGGGCCCAGAACTGGACCAGTGGCCTTGGGGAAGTCTCTTTGCCTCAGGGTCACCTCTTCCCATCCCCTTAACTGTAGGACTTGGGCAGGTCACTTCCATCCTCATTTTTCTCGTCTGAGAAATGGGCTTGCACCAGCAGGCAACACATGGCCAGGAGACAGGCCCTGAGCACCTTCTCTGTGACAGGCTGAACTACCCCCACCCCCCACCCCTGCAGCTCGATGGCAGTGTGTGCATAGCAAACGGCTTTGCTGGATGGCAGTGTGTGCGTAGCAAGCGGCTTTGAGGATGGAAGGGCTTCCTGAGCTCCTGTATCTGCCCCTTACCTCTGTACTGCCACCACCACCCTCAGGAGCAGCAGGGCAGCTGCTGGGAACCTCATTAATGGGGCCACAGCCCTGCACCCTGTCCCCAGAGTGGGCTCAGCATGAAGATGCAGTACTTAAGGCCACAGTGGAGCTGGGAGTTAGGGGCAGGAGGGAGAGATTCCAGGGAGATGCCTGGAGGTCCCAGGATGCCTCTGTGTTCACCTGTTAGCCCAGTGCTTCCTGAGACCTGTGGAAGAGGATATGGCTCAGCTCACCCATGGAGCCCTGTGAGGCCCCTGCCTACCTTCTCCTGGTTCCCAACCCACTACACCTTAGTGGTCCCTTTCTGGAATAAGGAGGCTAGGAGGGGGACAAAACAGGAAGAGGTCACTGGGGTCAGAAGCTGGAATTGCTACGTGGCCTAAGGCACAGGTTATCACTCTCTGGGCCTTCTTACTAGCTCACTTTTGCAACAGAGTAGAGGGGTGGGACCATTCTCCAGGGTAGAGGAGAGGGACCATTCTCCAGGGTAGAGGAGAGGGACCATTCTCCAGGGTAGAGGAGAGGGACCATTCTCCAGGGTAGAGGAGAGGGACCATTCTCCAGGGTAGAGGAGAGGGACCATTCTCCAGGGTAGAGGAGAGGGACCATTCTCCAGTGTAGAGGGGCGGGACCATTCTCCAGGGTACCCCATCCTTGGGACATGCTTACTCCTGCCCATGGTCTACCTGGCCCAGAAATCAGTTCTCTTAGTACCTAGCCTCTAGTCTCAGCATGCTTATCTTTCCTCTTTGTTGGACTCAGTTTCCCTATGTAAAAGAGGGAAGACCCCCCCCACACACACACAGCTGCTGGTCAGAGTGAGCCCGTATGTACAGCCTTGTGTAGTCTTTCTATGAGCTGACCCTCAGCAATGCCCCCCCACCCTGGGGAAGCAGCGCCACTGTCTGAGGTGACCTTACCACCTCCAGACTCCAAGTAGGTCTCCTGGAGGCACAGGCTGAGTGTGCAGGGGGGACTTAGGGGGGTTGTGTGGTTCCTAGTCATTATTGACCCACGGGAAGTGTCACAACTCTCTGAGGCCTGACCAGCCTCCTGGCTCTCAGATTTCTGTACTTTCCTCCTACTCCACTCCTGGACCCCTGGACCCCCACGAGGTCAGAGCCTCTGTGGGTGGGTGGGGCTAGCCCAGAGTCCAGGAGCAGGAGTCTGCATCCCTGAGGCCCCGCTGTGGTTTCTGTGGCCAGGTCGTTCCCCTCTGGTGCCTTGCAGAGCGTGCCCAGCCTGCAGCCGGGTGGCCAGCTGGGGCTGAGGCTGGCTCAGTGGCTTCCTGCCTGTGTGGCCTCGGTTTCTGATGCATCCCTCCCAGGCCCTGGGGACTGGTTCAAATGCAGGTTGCTGAGCTGGATTCAGCATCGGGATGGGAGGTGACGCAGGGCCTGGCCACACTGGCAGTGACCACAGTTCGGGAACAACTAGCCCCATCCTCCAGGTTCAGCAGGTGCTGGTACCTACCGTGTGGGGCCCAGCTTCTTCACCCTTCCAGAAGTTGAGGGCACGGCCTGAGAGCTTCTGTTCCCCTAAATGCACACAAAGCAATTCCCACAAATAGTTTCCCAGGCACCTGGCATCCCCCCAACGCTGTTCCACGTGCAAGGGACCCTGAACCCCACCTGCTGGTTCCAGAGAAGGGGAAACAGGTTTTACAGTGACCATGGTCATGCCAAATCTGGTGGTGACTCTCCTTCCTCTCACACCCTTCTCCCCTACTCACCCCACTGGAGCTTCGGGCCTCTGCCAAGTACGGTCCTGCCCCAGGGCCTTTGCACAGCTGCTCCCCTGCCACAGTTATGCCTCCACACTAGTCTGCGTGTTCCACCACAGAGTTCTTTTCTTCAGCTTGTTCCTGGCCCTGAGGATGCCCTCTCAAGCATTTAGGTGACGTGTCTTAAATGGGTCAGAAATAAGTTAAGTAAATAATGTTTTCTTTTCAGCAGTGGGGAGGAATCTGAAGTGGGCAGAGGGCAGGTAGTTGGGGCAGGGGCTTCTTGAAGAGGCTCAGGGCTGAAGGGAGTGAACCAATAGCAGCAGTGTGACCTCTTGGGACCTGGTATGGATAGGCAGGAAAAATGACCCAATGCTACTACACCTGGGCCTTGGAGAAAACTCTAGGTGTGGGGAAGCTGAGAAAAGGTCTAGAGAAACAGCCGCACCTGGTCATTCAGCACCCCAGAGCCTGGGAGCACCCCCACTAAGGCCTGGCAGATCCAGAAGAACCCGCCCAGTGGAAGAGAAAGGGTTAACCTCAGACCTTCCAGCTCCCCTAATCAGGCCCAGGCCTGGAAGCCCCAGTTGCAGCCCTGGGCGGGAGCTACCTCCCTGCCACTGGCCCTCTGCCAGCCGGCTTCCCTGCCCAGCCACCACTGGTTTTCATCTGCTCACAGGGGGCCAATTCACAGCAGACCACCCCAGGCCCGGCACCCGCCTGCCATCCGAGCGGCTGATCTGAGTCCGGTGTAAATCTCCCCACAGGCCGCAGAGCGAGCTCGGCAGCAGACACAGCGCACAGTGGCTGCTGTGTGTGGGTTGCTGAGGAGCAGGCTGTGGGCCCTGCGGGGAAGGGCTGAGCCAGCCCAGGGCCTGCTGGCTGGGGCTCACCTTGTTCCCAGGGCCCTGCCCGACTTTGCCTCTCCCTGCGTCCCACCTCCTGCCTCATTGAGGCCAGACGTGGAGCTGGCCTCCTGCCAACCAGAGCCTAGCTCTCCTGTCAGAGGAACTCTGTGGGCTAGGCAGCTCATTCCAGGTTTTAGTATCACCTTGTGACCTTGGCCTGGTGCCTTCTCCTTTCCGCCTGCCTGCGTAGCTGGGGTGGGGGTGGGGCAAGGGAGCCTCACAGAGGATGGTGGCCTTGAAGTTGTCTGTGTGGTCCACCAGGTATAGGAATCCCAGCCTCCTGCACCGCCTGCTGGAGGCTGGGGCTAACCCTGGCAGAAGCGCCAGGCATCGGGCAGGTAGAAGAACCCATGCTGGCCCACTTGGGGACAGTAAGGGAGTCACAGTTGGACTACATTCTGTGTCCCTGGGGAGTTGCTGCCCAGCGCAGTGGCTTTGACCTGTGTCACCTGTGAGGTTGGCTAATGACTTAGCTCTGTTGCATGGGAGCTGTTGACCCAGGAATGGGAGGCAGGTCAAAGCAGAGTTGACACCTCCCCTGAAGGTCAGAGCCTGTGGGCTGTGTACTTCTCAAACCTGACTTCGCCCTAAGGGTGTAGGGAAGGCTGTAAGCTTTTGTCCCCATTTTACAGAAGAAACAGTGGAGGCCCAGTGAGAGTCAGCAAACTTTCCCAGAGCCACACCACTGGATGATGGCTGCCTTTAATGGGCCTGGGGCTACTGGCCGTGGAGTAGGCTAGCTGAGCCCTGCCATCCCCCAGACGGGGTCCTGGGCACTCACTGTGATCATAGACCCCAAGCAGGAAGCTGGCAAGTAGTGCAAGCAAGACCAGACAAGTCAGGGGCCCTTCCCCAGGCACCCTCTATCCACGAGGGCTCTGCGAGCCCAGCTTTCTGCCCCTGGGGTGGGATGACAACCACTTTACAGATGTGGAAACTGAGGCCCAGAGGAAAGCAACTTGGGCTACAGTAGTTGTGTGACTGGGACTCAGCCCTGAGTTTCAAAGCAAGGCAGAGCCCTGCAGGGCTCCATGAGACCCTGAGTCCTGGTTAGGGTTTCTGTTGCTGTGATAAAAGACCACCACAAGCAACTTGAGAAGGAAAGAGTTGATTTCCTTAGCTCTCAGGCCACACTCTGTCCCTGAGGGAAGCCAGGGCAGGAACCTAGAGGCAGAAACTGATGCAGAGGCCTCGGAGGGTGCTGCTTCCTGGCTTGCTGCTCAGTAATGGAGTGTGACTTGAGAGCTGTAAGATGACATAAACCCTTTCCTTCCCGGGCTGCTTTTGTCATACTATTTTATCTCTGAAAAAGAAAAGTAACTAAGACGCCCCCTTGTACTCCTCCTCTTAGGGTGTATCCTGGGCTGGGGCTAACACCATGTCACACCTTGTTTCACACCAGGCTCTGGGGAGAAGAGTTGGCCAGTTGTCTCTTCCCAGCCTTGCTGTTTCCTACCTGTACAATGGGGGCATATCGGTCAGGTCTCCCTCATGAGGCCGCAAGGGCCAGCAACTGGTGTGCCTCCTAAGCCACCAGGCTCCAATTTCTTCTACTCTTGACTACTTTCGAGGCTCTTCACAGGCTCTTAGGTTGGGCCCAAAGGACAGGGAGCCTTTCTGGCAGAGACTCAGACTCAGAAGGACAGAGGATGAGAGAGGCCAGACTAGGAGCAACAGGAGGCCAGAGCTGTCCGGAGCTGCCTGTTCTTTGTTTTTTGGTTTTTTTTCCATTGGGGACTGGAGGCCAGTGTGACCAATGCTAACTTCTTGTAACTTTAAGCCAGTGACTCTCCAAGGGAGGGGACCTAGGTGAGCAGGGGGAGACTGAGGCACCGAGCACAGAAGGGCACGACCCCAGGCGGCTGAGGGAACCAGACAGTTCCATGCTCTCACTGTGGGAAAAAGAATAAAAGGCTTTTTCTGTGGCCCTCCTCCCCGGGCACAGGCCAGGCGCTTCCGTTCAGTTCTGCTCCCGGCAGGCATGCGGGTCTCAGCCTTGTGGCTCTGAGACTTTCTGGCGCCCTGGCCACGTGGGGTCAGCAGGCTCCCCTCTGCCAGCAGGCTCTAGCTCTACACAGCCACGGGAAGCAGTCCTGGGCAGTCCTTTTCCGGGGAGCCTGCCCTGTGCAAGCCACTGGGTCCCAGCTGGCTATGAAGCTTCAGTGCCCCAGGGGTGTGGTCACCATTACAGGTTCATAGACAAGATGCCTACACCACTGAGCAGTGGAACTCCAGGAGGAAACAGTACAGAAGGGACCCTGGGCCTGGAGTCAGGGATCTGGGCTGTCTCCCTGGTCACCATCCTAGCCTCAGTGTCCTGCTGCGTCATTTGCTTTCCCTGTGGTCGCTGTGATAGGGACGCTGCAGCTCAAGGTGGAGGGATGTGTAATGAGTGAGGACCCTGAGGACCCATCCTTGAACTCAGACTGTCCCCAAGCCCCGCTCCCCTTCCGCCGGCCACGGGAACAGCTGTAAACACACAGTACACTGTGACTCAGAACCAGGGGACTTTGCTCATCAGTGATGACCGTGGTGGCAGCATTTGTCAGCACCATTGGCTACCTTGGAACTTGTGGTTGACTGAGACGCCCGTTTCCTTGCACCCAAACTGCCATCTGGTCAACCCACAAGCTCCCACCTGTCCCGTGGGCTTCCTGCCTGTTGAGATGGCTTGGAATTCATTGTCCCCATCTCAGCCACACATCCCTGCCGTCTCCAGGAGCCCCAGAGCTTTGGCACTTCTACTGAGCCCAAAACCGCATCAGGGCACATGACACCAGTCAGCTGACCTCGGCAAAGCACAAACCTTCTATCCAATCCCCAGTCGCCCGCCTGCCTCCTCACAGACTTGCCCAGGCCTTAGGCTTCTGAGTCTGCAGCACCAGCTCCAAGGTGCCCCAGGCCATGCTTTCCCCTTCATTTCCTAGAGCCTTGGAGGTGGTGACAGCTGCTGCCAAGCATACTACTGGTCTTGCCTGGGGCCTTATGAGAGGACAGTAGGGTTCCCTGGCTATCAGCGAAGGATGCCTTCCAGGAACCCCTGCTCAGTTTCTGAGGCTCTCCCGAGTCTAGCTGGACCTGTGGCTGGCATGTGTGGAAGCTCTGAGATCCATGAGACCCAGACCTTTACGCTTCCCTTCCAACGTCAGGAATCAGGTTCTTTCTGTGACTTCCTGGGGTCCCTCACCCCAGCGCTGGTCAGTGGTCATACTTTTCAGGTCGTAGAATCACTAGTCCAGCCTCAGGCAGAACAGTGAAGACCCTGTTGTACCACTCACCTTTCTGTCAATCTAGAAAAGTCCGTGTCGCTCCAGACCCAAACACTCAGGCAAACTACTCATGCTGAACACCCTTCTTACACTTTCCTAGCACGTCCAGGGTTAGGAAACCCCATCATTTTGACATGTTGTGTGAGCTCAGTCAAGCCTCCACATCTCTCTGAGCCATAGTACAGAGAAAGCCTGGGAGGCAGGATGAGCTAGTGGTTAGACAGAGGACTGAGGTGCCTGGCAGGAGATGTGAGCTTGTATGGGTCAAAAAAGAGCCATTCAGAATCGCTGTCTACCAAGGAAAGGAGGCAGCTGCACCTCCAGGGATGTGGCTCTTGTCACACTCATGAGCTCTCCAGGGTGGCAGGGAGGGCGTTTCAGAGAGGCTGGTCACCCTCCCCACATCACAGGTGAGGAAAGTGGGCTCCAAGGAGTGTCACTCCAAGCGAAAGTGGTAGAATAATTCACCCAGGCTGAGGCTATTCTAGAAAGTTCCATAAATGGACTCTCCCTCTGTTTTTCCATGCACATAAAACCCAAAAGAGGTTGGGAAGAGAAACTTCAGAGTTGGTGAGGACAGGCACCTGCTGACAAAGGGCCTCGGTGGTCATAGCTCACCTATTCTTATTGCAGGAACTCGGTGTGTTGTCTGAGACATGAAAGACGGATGATTGAAGAGTGTTTGTGGCACTAGGGGTCCCTCAGTCATTAGCAGGTGCACTGCCAGCCTGGAGCTCCTGTGTGGGCTGTGGCTGTGCAGAGGGTGGTAGGGAGGACTGGCAGTCTCCTATGTGACACTCCACCAGGTGCACTGGTCCCTCGGCCCCGTGTCTAGGTGGGACTGGAAGCCTATATGTAAACCCTCAATGACCGTGCCTCTGCCCTCCTCCCTCAGGCCCTGAGGGGAAGCAGGTTTGAGGGTGGCCAGGGCCAGGTAGTCGGCACTCCCTTCCACAACCTCATGCCCTCGCAGGGGTGCATGGAATGTGGGGGTCTGCATGCAGGGACGGGGGTGAAGGTAGTATCACCCCTGGGGGCTCCTCCTGACTCCTCGGCAGCCTGCCTGCCTGGGCCATTCTTCTAGGCCTTTGCCTCAGTATTCTTTTCTGTCAGACCATGTTGGGGAGGCTTAGGTAGTTCAGACCTTAATATCACAGCATGCTGGCCCAGTCAGAGCTCTCAGTGTGAGGTAAGATTGTCTATTCTGAGGAGAGTCCAGGCCGCCTGAGGTGGCATGTAGCCACCATCTCTGTTTCATTCAGAAAATCAGAGAATTCCAAATTAGACACCAGGAAGAACTTCCCAGCAGGGCAAGGTATTGCAGTGGCTGATGGGTTCCTTGCGCTCCACAGGGCACCGGCAGAAGATAGAAGACCAGACCAAGGCCTTCCCTGACCGCTTCGGAGACCTGCGCATGCGCGTAACACCCAGCACCCCTAGTCCCCGTGGCTCACTCAGCACCACAAGCCACTTCGGCAGCCAAGCCCAGACCCCAATCCAAGGTATGGAAGAGCAGAGACCTGTGGGGATCGGGCAGGGGTGTGGGTAAGGAGCCAGGATGTGGTCCACTTGCTCCAGGCCAAGTCTCTGGGGAAGGTGGCTCCCCCACTGTTTCTGGGTGGACAGCTGGGACACTACCAGGTCAACTCATGCACAGTGCTTGACCCTGGAGTAAGCATGAGCAGATGTGGCCATCCCTCCCTCTGAAGTCAAGATTCCCTAGGGACATGGGGGTGACCCTGCGGGGTGCATAGAGCCATGGCCACCATGCTCCCACCTCAGCCTTCTCATGGTGACGGGGATACAGTAAGGATATCTCCCCTTTTTTTTCTTCCTTGAGGCAGGCTTTCTTTGTACAGCCCTGGCTATCCTAGAACTAGCCCTGTAGCTCAGGCTGGCCTTGAACTCACAGAGATCCACCTGCCTCCTGAGTGCTGCGATTAAAGGCGTGGGCCACCAACGCCCAGCAGGTTGGGGATATCTCCTCCTGGGACTGAGTGCTATTCACGCCTGAAGCTGTGACATGGGGTGCCAGCAGTGCCTAGCCCAGTCCCTCCACCCATAGTCACATGAACAGAGAGCCCTAGGGTTGGACTGTATCCCACTGCCTAGAGGAGGCAGCGAGGCTGCAAGCAGATCTCCCTGGGGCCTGTTAACCCGAGGCAGGTGCTTGACCAGCCCCACGCAGACACTGTACTTCCACTAAGGGTCAGAGACAGGAGGGCTGGCTGTAGCTGGCCGGGCGGGAGCAGATGCCAAGCCACAGAGGCCAGAGGGCTGGCTGCTGCCCCATGCGGTTCTTATCCTTTCACTCACCAGTGCTGGCTCCGGGTCAGTGTGGCAGATGAGTGAAATGAACCGAAGAGGGTTAGTGCCACCCGTGGGTCACATAGCCTTCTGGTGACCGGGTCTAATGTCTAACTGGGCCTGTCCCTAAGTGAGGATTCCTGAGGGCCTAAGAAAGGACCCACCATTAGGGCCAGAGTGGGCCGAATGTTAGCACGTCTCTGCCCTACCTTCTGCCCTCCTCCATACTGGTCTTCCCATGATGATGCATTGCCAGAGATAATTAACCACGTCTTTTGGCATGATACAGTGTCAGGGGCGTGCCAGGAAGCTGGCCCAAGGTAAGGAAAGGCCCTACCCACAGTTTGTGTGAGCCCATGGGCTTGTGAGTTTGAGATTTGGCTTTTGAGCCCTGGGCCCTTGGAGGCTCATTTCTGACCTCTGTTAGTACCCTGCATCGCGCTATGCCCAGCCCTTCCAGGAGCTTGTCCTTGCTCCAAGCCCACAGGCCAGCACCTGGCCTAAAAGGGGTGAATGGAGTCTAGGGAGGGACACCACAGAGTCCTCCAAGGCTGGACAGTGCTTCCTGTCCACCAGTTCCCTTGAGAGAGGAGTACATGGTTGCCCTGCCACAGAGAGAGGGTGTGGTCTTTGGACTCTGTGCTCCCAGGAGTCAGACTCAGCCCCCCCACAGCCCTGGGCCTCACCTAGCCAGTGTGTCACGGATGGCCAGTCCTTCTCTTACTGCATCCTGACTAGGACTCTTTAGCCCCGTGTTAGCTCCAACGGTCCCTTTGGTGTTCAGGAGAGGGTCCTGGATACCCACCTCAGGGAAGAAGCATGTACTTTGCTATCGGGTCAACCTGACCGGTTCTAGCTCTGCCTTGCATTGGCTGTGTGATCTTAGGAAAGTCACCTAACTTCTCTGAACCTGTTTCCTCACCCATAAAGTGAAAAGAGGTTTCCATCAGAGTGGCTTTGGCAGGCTCAGATATGAAGAGACACAACACACTCTCTGGTCCCAGGATGCCTCACTACTTTTCCTTGGTGCCTGTTAGTAGCATTGACCCCTACCTTGGTCACTGTAGGCAATGTCAGGACCAGGGGGCGGGGCTTGCTGCAGCCGCCCACAATGGGGGCTTCTCACAGCTCAAAGGACCCATTCATCTGCACACAGCAGCTGGGGCAATTTGGAGAAAATAAACATTTCCTCCCGCTGCTGGGTTGGCTGCTTGACAGTGGCCTGGCAGCTCAGATTTCCTGGGGCTGTGAGGCTGAGGGTGAGGAAGCCGCTGAGGGTCTGAGAGGGTGCCTAGGGCAGGTACTTCCCCACCACTCTGGAGGAGAAATGGGAGCAATGAGAAAAGAGGGAGGAGGGGACGGTGGCAGCTCCGTGCACCCCAGTCCCTCCACTGCCGGGCCACAGCCCCACTGTCCCATCATCACAAATCTTGTTCCGTCTGCTTTGAGAGCAGGGTCCCCTGTTAGCCGGCATCAGTGTGCAGAGTCTCCTCATCCCGTAGGACTCCTGCATGCAGATGGGCATCAGGCACCTCGACCTCCCAGACCTCTAGTCAGACTGATCCGTCAAGGAGTCCCCAGTGTTCATTTCAGAAAGCTCCAGCTGCCTGGCCCTTGTCCAGTCTCCTCACCTGGAGCCGGGGCAGCTCTCTGTGGTGATCCACAGCCAGGACCGGAGACCCAAGGGTACCGGATACCTGAGGCCACCTGACACCTTGGACAGAGCCCAGGAAGCAGGAGGCCTGAGCTCTGCGTCCCCAAGCACAACTGGTCACCACCAGAAAGCCCACCCAGAGTGGACACCAACCCTGCTGGCCCGGAGATAGAGCCTCCCCTGGTTTTTCATCCATGATGGAGGAGGAGACAATGGGCCTCATGAGGTTTGGCAGGCCAAGGCTCTGGGCCACCACTCAGGACTGTCCCCTGCCCACTGCTGTCAGGGTAGGAAGAGGGCCCCAGGTCAGGGTTTCATATTAGCAAGGTCCCAAACCAGCCACCTCTGCGTACCCTGAGCAAGAGGTACGACTGACCACAACAAGACAGAGAGCACCACAGGCTGCCGGGCCTGGTTCGGTTCTCAGCATTTTAAGTGTATTAGCAAATTTGATCCAGGTCCTCACGAAATTGATGCGCAGAGAGGTTAAGATTTGACAAAGGACACACAGAGTGAGAGGTGAAGCCAGGCAGATTGAATGGCTCCAGAGGCCCCATGGAAAGTCCTGCCGTCTCCAGGAAGAGGCTGTGCCTGTCGGGACAGTGGTGGGGCTCAGGACAATGCGCTCTGTGACCCTCATGCCTCACCCTTGCTGGGTCCCTGTTTTCCCACCAATGGGGTTAGGTTTGTCCCCAAAGCTCATGTGAATGCTGGGATTGGAGGGGGGGCTATGATTATAATCGTAGGTACACAGGTTGGCATATCCCATCTTAGAGCCCACTGAGGAATCCAGACCCCTGATGTTGCTGTGTGGAGTCAGACTGCATTTTAACCAGACTGGGGTCTGGACCCCCAAATGCCTCCAGCAAGTGTTTCACTTTGCACCAGAAGTGGTGAGGGTTCATGTAGGTAGATGTGTGACCACCAGGTAGCTCCAGCCTGCAGGGCAGCCTTAGAAGACATAGGCTCAGGAAGTGGGGTTGAGGACCAGCAGATCCCCTCCCAACCAGAACCCCAATCTTCGTGTGCCCATCCAGAGGGCATGGGGATGCCTGTGTGCTGCTACCCAGCCTCTCTTACTTAGCCCATGGCTGCTCCCAAGATCAGAAGTGGTATCTGTCTCACTGTCCTGCTGAGAACTGTCTGGACCTTCATCTGATGCCCTGACCCCCTTGACTGGCAGTTTATAGACAGGAGCTGTGTAACACACACACACACACACACACACACACACACACACACACACACACACACTAGGGGGGGAGTGGAGGGAGAGAGAGAGAAAGACCTCAGGGTGAACAGTGGCCTTCTGGAGCATTCTAGTATTTTCTGTACATGAGGGGGGAAATCAGCTTTCTTTATTTCTGCCTCAGTTTCTTCCTCTTCAGTGGTAAGGTCCAGATCCCAGTCTCACTGGGCCCCTGAAGATCGTATTCACACCCTTAATCAGAGTGAGCTTGTGGGGAACCCTGTCTAGTGCCAGACCCAGCAAGACAAAGGAGGGCTGGCCCAGAGTTCAGTCCCCCCTTTCACCCGCCCTGCCCCGATCTGCAGCAGGAGTTCCCAGAGCGCACCTTCAACAGCCCAGGCAGAGGAAAGGGTCCCCAGGAAGGTCACTCTACAGTGGCAGAGGGCCTGCGGTGGTTCTGCCCTGCGCACCTGACCCCCCTCTTGCTGTCTCCAGGCTCATCAGACCTGAACCCCTTCTCGGACCCCCGCCAGTTTGACCGCTCCTTCCCTACGCTGCAAAGCCTCACCGAGAGCCGCTTCCCGGACCCCAGGATGCACTACCCGGGCGCCATGTCTGCCGCCTTCCCCTACAGCGCCACGCCGTCGGGCACCAGCCTGGGCAGCCTGAGCGTGGCGGGCATGCCGGCCAGCAGCCGCTTCCACCACACCTACCTCCCGCCGCCCTACCCCGGGGCCCCGCAGAGCCAGAGCGGGCCCTTCCAGGCCAACCCCGCGCCCTACCACCTCTTCTACGGCGCCTCCTCCGGCTCCTACCAGTTCTCCATGGCGGCTGCGGGCGGTGGCGAGCGCTCACCCACCCGCATGCTGACCTCCTGCCCCAGCGGCGCCTCGGTGTCCGCGGGCAACCTCATGAACCCCAGCCTGGGCCAGGCTGATGGCGTGGAGGCCGACGGCAGTCACAGCAACTCGCCCACGGCCCTGAGCACGCCAGGCCGTATGGACGAGGCCGTGTGGCGGCCCTACTGAGCACCCTGGGGACTCGCGGGCCACCCGAACCCGGCTTTCCTGCTCTAGGCTACAGGAAAAAACAGACTTTAGCCTGGTCCCAGGGGCCAGAGCTGGCGATGGCTCCCAGAGCTCTGTCCAGCAACAAGTTTGAGCAGAGGCTGTGGGGACCTCCCCCAGGACACTGCCCCAGCCCAGACCCGCCTCTGTTGTCTCCAGTCATGCCTAGGATTATCTCCCAAGCCAGAGGCTACCCCTGCCCATGAGGGAGGAGGCCTTTGCTTGCCAGAGAAGCTCAGGCTCAGAGATATCCAAATTTCCTCTCCCTCACCTTGACCCTGGAGACCAGCCCTCCCTCTGCATCCATACTCATCAAGTCAACCGGAAACCCCAGCCCCTGAGATGATTTCTTCACTGTAGAGAGGGAGGACCCAGGACACACCCACACCTGTCCCAAACTTGACTTCCCCATTATCCCAGGCAAGCAGTCCCTGACCAGTTCTAACTTACCCGAAGACACCAGGCCCCAGAGCAGGGCCCTAAATCAAGGAAGGCCTCAACACCTCCAAGCACAATCCATCCTTAAGAGCCAACTTGGTTCTCAGGGGCAGGGGGCCCTGGCAGAAAGTCTAACCATGGGACGCATCCCTGCTCAGTAGGCTCACTAGGTCCAGCCAAGCTGTGCCCCAGGCCTCACCAACCAACCCGAAGCCCCACTCCCTACATGTTTGTACCTAGAAGCAAACAACCTTGAAGCAAAAGAAAGAGTGGCTTCATCGTGTATTTCAAAACAAGGTCTGTGATAGGTGAAGCTCTGTGTATATGAAAGCCCGGCCTCTGCTAGTGTGACCTCAGCAGGCTCCTGCCACCCTCAGACCTCACAGAAGGGGACCAGGGCCTCCAGGAGGCCTTGTGGATGCTCTGTTGAGGTGTGCAATGGCAGAACAGTGTCCAAGCGAAGGTCAATGGGAAGGGAGGACTTGGCCTAGGACTTGGGTCATGGGGACTATGGGAGATTGTCGGTGGGATAGGCTAAGAGCTTTACCAGAGCTGGCCCACAGGTGGTTTTTCAAACTGAGTGAGCCACATCCTCTGTGGCCTTGGAACTCTCCTCTAGAAAGCTCCTTAGTGATGGTCTCTGTGGTCCTGCTTGGCCTTCCCCATTGCCCACACCCACAACAGCTGCATACGCACTCTGGTAGGCCAGGGAGCCCTGCCAATCCTGTGCAGACACCTCCTGTTACAGTTTCTTTTGTCCCACCCTTATGGGGGAAAATACCAAAACATTTTCTATCTCTTGAAAGTAGCTGAGTTAACCTTCCAGCTCCCGCAACTAGGAGGGTCACCTCACCTCTTCTCAGGAAGCAGCTATAGCCCATTGCCCTCCTACTGGTCCATGATGGAGACTGGCCCATACTACCAAGGAAGACACCTTTCAGGGTCCTAGTGCCTAGCACTGTCCTGGAGATGGAAACACACACACACACACACACACACACACACACACACACACACACACTGTTACTCCTCTTTCCCATCCTTGATTAACAGTGACAGCTGAGTCTGTTGGTCCTACAGTGAGTACAGGCAGCAGCCTGGGCTGGTAAAAACGGGTCCTTACTCTCAAGGCTGCTTTAAAGTGCTCCTTGGAAGCACTGGCTAGAAAGAAAGCACAAGGAGGCAGAAGGGTTGATACAATGTCATTGTAAGTGTATGGGCGTGGGTGTGGAGGGGGCGCTGATCCTTTGTGACATTGTTACCCTGAAGCATCCTTCCTGCTGTGAGCAGGCAGGTCTTCCTGAAGCAGACTCAGAGTGGAGGGGGACGGGAGGGCCTGCTTTGCACTATAGGCTGCTTGGTGTGTTTGTTTTTTATGCACAACTTGCTTGTACAGTCAACACCCATCTTGGGTACTATTTAACTGTAAAATGAAAATTGTATTTGTTACAATAATATAACATGCCTTGAAGGACCTGTGTCAGGCTTCTAGAGTTCTGAATGTGGGTGGAACCTCCTACCCTTGGGCAGGAGATGGGACCATAGGCCATGGTTGAGCTGGCTATGTGGGAGATAGCCCAGTGCTGGGAAATCCTCCATGTAGCTCCACCCAGGTAGCTAGAGAGACCTGGCCCAAGGACCTCTGGAAGACCACCTTCCTGGCTGAGCTAGGACCCCAGAACATCAGATAGGTCTTCAAGATTACACTAACCCCTTCTCCCCATGCTGGCCATGTCAATCACACAGAGGCAGAAGCCACTGCACTGTCCCATCTGACACAGATACAGACTTGGGGAGGGATAGGTTGAAGGAGCAGCCAGCCACCATGATGAGGGACTCTCTGAGTGGGGTCCTCTTTGGGATGGGTATGACAGAGACCCTCAGGAGTGAGAACCCCTCTTGGGTGAAGACTTTCCAGAGTGAGGGCCTCTAGGGGGGTAAGGATCCCTTTGGGGAGCCCCAGGTCTGCTTGCTGGGGTCCTGGCAACAGAAAAGACAGGACTACAAAGCTGTCATTTGGAGATGAGATGACTAAGTAACCAAGAGAGCTGTCATGGGTTCCATGGCTCCTGGTAGCTGGTATTCGCCAAGCTGAGACCATGCCTGAAAATGGGGGCTGTGGGTGATGGTGTGGGGACCTGGCTTGATAGTCCCTTTCTGTGTCTGACTAGTTGGGACATCAGACAGAGATTTTTCATAAGATAAACAAAACTCTGTGGTGCCCATTTAAAGTTCCAGGATCCTGTCCTGTTGTAGTATCAGCCTACCTAAGATCAATCCCCAACAGGAAGTTCCTGTTTTCCTACCCTGGACCCTTTCCTACCCAGCAGCACCTCTGCCCCCACAGGATTCTGGCCGCCACTGCCACAGGACCTGTCCTCAGGTACACCCTGAGTAGTCGGTCACCCAGCAGGACCTCTCCTTGGGTTAGAAGTCTTCACAGCCCACAGGCTTTTATTTGGTTTATCTAAGGGTGAACCTGTTGGTGGCCCCTACAACTGAGGGACAAAACCTCTGACTTTAACTCCTGTCCCCTGCACCCCTCATGTCAAAAGGAAACAGATCCTGGGCTAACTGGAGACAGGGAAACTGGAGGAAGCCATGCAGTTACCTCTGCAGCCTGTGGGTGATGGCAGGAATGACTTCTAGGCAGCAGAAAGAAAGCAACAATTGCCCCTGAACCCGCCAATCCCTTTGGAGAGGAATGTGGACTGATATTAGGAAGAGCTCCCCAGCCTCAGGAGAGTCACTCTTGCCCTGCCCGGGTTTCCTTACCCGGGCGCCCAGTAGCGGCAGTGACAGTAGCGGTAGCAGCTTCCTGTTTCTGCCCTTCAGAACCGCTCTCCTGGTCACATGTTCAGGGTTAGCACAGTCACAGACCCTGAGCTCCCAGGTCCCACCACAAGACAGGGACCTGGAGGGAAGAGCAGACTTCTGGGTAGGAAGCTCTGCAGCCGCAGCCAGGCTCACGCACTTTCCAGAATCAAAGGTTCTGATGCTGCCAGTCTAGGTGAGGAGGTCAGTCTGCTGCCAGCCTGGAAGCCCTGAGGTCCTTGAGTCTCATCTGAGAGCCAAGGAATCCACTGACTTGATCTGTGACTAGCTTAGTGACAGACTGAGAAACAACTCCCAGAAAGGACCCAAGCTTGTGACATCAGGTCTGGGATGGCTTTGACTCTTGTCCTGAGAAGTGTACATCCTGTCTGGACCACGGGAAAAGAGGTCTGGGGGAGCCAATGCTGGATGACATGAGGACAGGACCTGACACAGACCCAGATTTGCCTCCCTTCTCCCCCAGCACGCCTCCCTGCCCCAGACTGCACTCCCACAAGCAGCCAGACCCCAGCATAGACCCGGAAAAGGGCAGTCCCCGCTGTCCCCGCTGTCTCCCGCTGTCCCCCGCTGTCCCCCACTGTCCCTCGCTGTCCCCACTGTCCCCACTGTCCCCCGCTGTCCCCACTGTTCCCCACTGTCCCCACTGTCCCCCGCTGTCCCCCACTGTCCCCCGCTGTCCCCCACTGTTCCCCACTGTCCCCCGCTGTCCCCCACTGTCCCCCACTGTCCCCCACTGTCCCCCGCTGTCCCCCACTGTCCCCCGCTGTCCCCCACTGTCCCCCGCTGTCCCCCACTGTCCCCTGCTGTCCCCCACTGTCCCCCGCTGTCCCCCGCTGTCCCCCGCTGTCCCCCGCTGTCCCCCACTGTCCCCACTGTCCCCGCTGTCCCCCACTGTCCCCCGCTGTCCCCGCTGTCCCCCGCTGTCCCCCGCTGTCCCCGCTGTCCCCCACTGTCCCCCGCTGTCCCCGCTGTCCCCACTGTCCCTGTTGTCCCCCGCTGTCCCCCACTGTCCCCCACTGTCCCCCACTGTCCCCCACATCCCAGCTCAGAGCACTTCAGTGGTTCCGTTCATCTCAGGGTCATAAAAGAAATGAGCTGTCAGAGGAGCTGAGTACAAGAACAACCCTCTCTGGCAGGAACCCAGACCTCCCCTGACTCCTCCCCATGGGGGCTGTGCAGAGTGAGGGCCCGTGCGCCCCCAATATCCGCTGCTACACCTGTGTGGTCCCAGCCAGGGGAGTCTGGGAAGCCGGATTCCAAACTTCCTATTTTTAGTTTGCAACTGAGAGTGGGCTGTTTGTTTTATATATTTATATCCAGCACGGTGTGCCTGCCCCAGCCAGCCGGGAATGCAGAGGGGTGGGTGGCCCTGCTGTCAATGCCACCTCCCTGCTGTGCCCCAATGTCGGAACCGCCCATGACTCCTCCATGCTGTAACGGGGCAGCTGCCATTGACCACATGACACTGCTCTACTCCTGGGCACAGTATCTTCAAGGCTTTGACCACGACTCCCTCAGTCACTCTCCAAGTGCCATCTGCAGATACACAAGTCACAGCAAAGCAAAGTGCTCCTCTCAGGACAGGCAGGGGACAGCAGGTCGGAACACATGCAAAGGCTCCTGGGAGGAGGAGACATCTCTCACCCCCAGACAAGATGGGAGGATGGGCTGGGCAGACAGGACAGCCTTCTCCAGCCATACAGTCCTAAGTATAAAGGTTGGGAATCGGCTTTGGGTAGTTGGAGAGGAGGGTGGGGAAGGGAGCGACCTTGGTCTTAGGGCAGTGGGGAGCCAAGCCCAGGGGTATGGGAAAGAAAGTGAGAGCCACAGAGAGACACTTGGGAAAGGTTAGAGAAACTCAATCGCTGGTCTCACAGTGATCTGAGAACAGGAAGCAGAAGCTGGGATCATCAAAGTAGGAAGAGCTAGACAACATCACAGACACCTCTAGCTCCGACGTCACAGGAATAACTCCATGCCCCGACCATTATCCAGTCTGGACAAGCTAGCATTGTGTAGTCCTGACTATCCTGGAACTTGCTACATAGACCAGGCTGGCCTTGAACTCACAGAGATCCGCCTCCAGAATGCTTGCCACCACGTCTGACCAGGATGAATGGTGTTTAACGGAACCGTTGAACAAGGCCGTAGGAGTAGTCATTGTCACCACTCAGTTAGCTCTTTTGGGATTTCCCCATCCCTGTCTCAGTTTCCTCATCACAGGCCTCTGACCACTGCCGAGGTCCTGTGTAGCTCAGTCTGATCTGGCCATCCACTCTCTTCTGGAGTCTGACGATGCGGAAGTTGTGAGGGGGAAGGCCCGGGTTCCTGTGTTTATGTGTTACATCTTAAATACTTTTTTTTAAGAGATAGGACCTCATATAGTCCAGGCTGGCTTTGAACTCCTGATCCTTGTGCCTCTACCTCCCAAATTCTGAGATTACAAGTGTGACCCACACCTGGCCACATTAAATAACCCTTAATCATGGGAGGGAAACAGAGCAACACAGACTCCTAAAAGGAACACAAGAAAATATGCTGATAATTTCAATGCCTCCAAAAGGGACTGCTGTGAATATTTTGTTTCCTTTAGAAATAAACATCTTTCTAGTCATTTACACTGCTCATAGTTTATCTTTTTGTTTTGTTTTGTTTTGTTTTGTTGGCTTTACGAGATGGAGTTTCTCTGTGTAACAATCCTGGCTGTCCTAGAACTGTCAATGTCGTTCTAAAAGTAGATAAAGAGCCAGGCATAGTGGCTGATGCATTCGGCATCAGAAGGCAGAGACAGGGAGATCTCTGTGGGTTTGTAGTGAGTTCCAGGTCCCTACATAGTGAGGCCTCAGTCAGAAGGAAGTCCCTCAAAGGAGTTAACACTAGCCCTGAGGGGAAACAAAGCCACTCTCATTCTCCTGTGGGTGCCTTCCATGACATAATTTTGCTGTAAAAACCATCATTAGAGGAGAAAGGAGAAGTAGAAATGAGAAAATGTCCTTGCTTAAAAGCAGAAGCAGGAAGGACTTGAGTCCACAGAGGAGGACTTACCCAGCATGCTTGGGGCCTGGGTTCCATCCCCAGCCCTGCACAAACCAAACTTAGGTAAGCAGGCTTGTGATTTCAGCCCTCTCCTAAGGTGTCTGGAGAAAAAGTCTTCACATGAGCTCTTTTGCTTCTTTCTTTCTTTTTTTTTTTTTTTTTTTTTTTTTTTTTGATTTTTACGAGACAGGGTTTCTCTGTGTTGTTTTGGAGACTATCGGTCCAGCCCGGCCTCGAACTCACAGAGATCCGCCTGCCTCTGCCTTCCAAGTGCTGGGATTGAAGGCATGCGCCACCACCCAGCTGCTTCCTTCTTTTATACCTCTCAAATCCTAGGATTAGAGGCGTGGGATCCCAAGTGCTGAGATCTCCTTTGTGCGAGTGGTTTCTCTTTAGGACTGGATCACTTTCATGTAGCTCAGGGTAGCCTTTAACTAACAGATCCATCTGCTTGTCTCTTGAGTCCTGGGATCGAAGATGTGTGCCACCCCTGCCTGGATCTGGCTAGCTAGTATGACTGCTGGGATTAAAGGTGTACATCACTATTCCCTGGCTCTGTGGCTTCTGGTTAGCTTTGCTTTCTGTATCTCAGGCAAGCTTTAA